GTGTGTGTGTGTGTGTGTGTGTGTGTGTGTGTGTGTGTGTCACATGGAGTCCACTAACTTCAGTTCCACTGGACCTGCTCAGACACCTAGTTTGCAGGATTATGCAGCACCTCCTTGCAGGCAAATCTTGTTTTCCAATCTGTCACTCCCCTTCTCTCCACATAACTACCCCACACTGTGTCCTTTAGTTTTTAAGTCACAAACTACATGTAATCCACTCACCGGCTTGGTGGTCATGTGGATTTTTTATCTCATTGAAAGTTTTGAGAGRAGAGAGGAAAATCAATATGGCCTTCCTGTCACAATACGTTTCAGAAGGAGCAGGTAAGATCAGCTCAGGTATTCCATATCATTTGTCATTGTCTATTTTGTACTAATTACACTCTATCTGGGTTTGTTACATTTTATTTAAAGTTTGGTTATCCAGGCCAGTTTATGGTCTGCTTTTGTAATTTTAATCATAGATCATCTAGGAAACATGCAGACTCCACACAGAAACCCCACAGGCCCAAACCAGGGTTCGAACCCAAGAACTTCCTGCTGTGAGACATCAGTGCTAACCACTAATCCATCGTGCTGCCTTGTTGACAAAACAAAACAAAACCTTTTAGTAATAGATTCACATAAGGCTAAGTGTTGAACTTTTACTGTACTGCATTCTCACAAAACATTTCTTTTAATCTCTGCTATTTGATCAATATTTAGCACCTCTGCATTTTTTAGTATAACACAAGTGCTATTTTATCAGCATTTAATAAGTTAAAATAAAAATATTTCACTATAAAGACAAACAAATTAATGAAAAATACAGATTGGATGCTTCGTTGCAGATAAAATGTGCTTTGACAACCAGAAGCAAGCAGATGATAAAGTTTCTCCAAGGCATTAGAGGTCAGTTGAGAGTTGTTGTTTTTGTTTTGCGCACTATATTACCATGACTTCTGATTTCAGCCCCTTTTGAACCGAGAACAGAGAGAATGCCAGGCTGCCAGTGCAAAAGGATCAAATATTTACTATTCTGTAGGAGCGCTATCACACCACTGGTGTTTTGCCCTGCATAGACGCACAAAGTTTTTTCACTGAGACCAGCAGAGACAGAAATGCAATTCTACAGACGATCTAATATGGTTCAGTGTGTGCTGCAGATGTAATGATAAATATGCGCACATGTGGTTTTACAGCTGCATTTGTGAGCATAATGTGAAAATCAAAAAGTTATATTTTCTTACAACTTCTGTCCTTCATTTATTATATTTAGGAACAAATGTAATATTTTTGGCGATGCTACTTATTTACTTTTAGACAAACTTTTAATTATTTCACATCCATCAATGGTTGAATTGAAAAACACTGCAGCACAATGTTCTGATTACATCTTAATGTTCAAAACACTTCAGATTTCCAAGTCATGTTACTTTTCTAACAAAGCATGCTGTACCACTCGTTCTAGAAACCATACCGTATTTCTGCTAAATTGCAAATGAAAAAGCTTACTGTCTAATATGAAATAAATATCCTCCTGCTAAAAGTGAAGCAGATACAACTTAATGGTTTATACAAAGTCAACAATGTATTTTATCAGAAACTGAACTATAAAATCTAAACAAGGCAAACTGACAACCTGTTCACATTGTTGTGATTTTTTTGTTAAGGACTGAGATTTTCTGCTGCATTTGCCTTTTTTTTCCTCCACTGACAAACTGAATTTTGTGTGGGAAAAGCTAAAGTTTTAAAGGTTGCTTCATAAAGAGGAAGTTTTTAAGAACAGAGACACAGAATTTTTCAAAATCAAGGACCTGCCTTTTTTGAACACACCCATTGTTTCTTTGTGCATTAAAACAAACCAATTTATTTATTTATTTATTTATTTATTATAACTAAAAATGAAAATTTAAAACTATATTTAAAAATATTTTTGGAAAAAAGTTTTGGGAGAATCTTTAGCCGGTCTATGAATATTTTTTTTCTCTTTACAATAAATGTTATTGTGCTTACCAGCTGGTGGTGCAATATGAGTATTACAGCATTTTTGTGCAAATTTACTGACAAAAATACATGTAAAAGAAAAGTGTATCAATTTTTACAAATCTGAAGCATGAAAGACAATGCTTATTTCGTAAAGATAGTTTCAAACAGTGAAGCAAACCGGTTGGTGTCTGCCTCGAAACTCATACAACTCTCAGATAACTTTATAACAAAACGCTGAAATTAAACCTGATGTATCAGGTACACACAATCACCCAGAATAAACAACATGAAGCTTCTCTGGCTGCACCAAATGCACAGTTGTCATCCCCTCAAATACAGCACAGTCTTGAGAGCATGAAATTAACTGCAGTCATTCTTCAACTTGCCCACGCCAGGTGTCTGAGAGAGAGAGTCAATAATCTGCTAATTACACGGTGTTAAAAGCTCCGGTCTGGTGCTGTGAGTTTGGCTGGAAGTCGTTACTGGAGACACCAAGCGCCACAGATCCATTGGCATGAAGGCCAGAGATGGGGTTAGAGAGCACACCAGGGAGTAGTACTCAAGACCACTATACTCTTTAGGTATAAAGTGATAAAATGTACTGATTTATCCACGGTTCAGGCAAGATGATACATACTGCTTTTTTTAATACAACTTTTAACTCATTACTAAATACAATATTAAATGTTCTTGTTAATTTACCCTCAGCCCACCATGAATTAATCACAATCACTGCTTTGGCGTTAGTGGGCTAAAGTTTATACTTAAATGTTTATGAAGAGATGATCTGCTATATCACTGATCTATGAGCATTTAAATACWTTCAAATACTGGAATTTGTGAATAAATTAAATAAACGTTGTTGTTATTATTCAGACACATTGCAAAAACTGTCCACCTAACCAAGTTTTAAAATCTTATATCCAGCCAAAAGGTCTTTTGATCTTGTTTTGAGACTGATTTACTAAACAAGAACTGATTGTGTAAGAATAATAATCTTGTTTTCAGAATGTGTAAGATTATTTGTCTTGTTAGCCTGAAAATTTGACTCAAATTAAGTCCAAAATTTCTGCCAAAGGAGTAAGAAAATTTTACTTGGTAAGACTTCTTGAAATACTTGATTTGACTCAATTTTTTCTTATTTCACGTGAAGCCGACATCAGGCGAAGGTTGGACCGTCTCATTTTGCAGCAGTTTTGAGCATCCTACCCGGCCCAGCAAGGATGTGGCCTACGTGGCCCAGCTAGGCTGGGTCCTCATGAGGACCCAGCCCATGAATTGAGGCAGTCGTTGATCACATGGATATTGTTCAGTTTCCTGTTTCATCAAGCTCAGTTTTCTCAGTTGTCATTTTGTTTCCTCTCCATCCATTCACTCACCAGTTGGTCATTATGTGTTATAAACGCCACTACTGGCCCCACATGCCTCTTCAGTTCTCAAATCCTCAGTGTTTTTTTAAACACACTCAAAGACAGATAAAGCATAAAATATAACTCATTAACTTTATATTTACTTGTTACTTTTACTCATTTCAGTAAAAGGGAAGCAGTTGAAATATTTTTTTAATTAAATCCTTTATATCTGTTTTTAGTGAAGGATGCTGCCTCACCAGCTTGTTTGTTTTGTTTCATTTTGAATAAAGTGAAGTTTACTTTCTCTTAATTGAGGGATATTCAACTAAATCGCTCAGGGTGGTGGTGGTGGATGGGAGGGGGCTTGCCTGTTAATGGTAGGGGAAACACTGCATTATGTAAACGTACAAGTATTATTATCACCTCTCTTTTTAAATGTTTATTTTGTTGTAATGAATCCTGAATTGGGGTGTGTGGCAGGGCGTCAYCGGTTGGTCAGAATACCCCTGCAGTAGTTCCCAACTTATTTTCCTCAGCGCTCCCCTTTCGTACAWCCAAGCCAAGCTGTTTAAGCTGACCCCCCACCCCTCTCACTACTCCCCACCTGCCCCAAAAATTCATTCCACATTTATCTCTTTATTAAAATAACAAAAGAATCAAGTGAATAGTTACAAACTTTTATTTTAGTCTGCATAAAAAAGAACTGTTTTTATTATTCAAATACACTTGTTTTAATTAGCTTCATACAAACAACCTCTGAGTAGACAATGTTGTGCCACCCCCCACCCCCCACCTTCATGCCCTCTGCCAACACCCACCCCCAGGTTGGGAATCACTGCTTTACGTGAACTGCAGTGTAATTCTGTATTCCTGGTTCAGTGACTAAAACTTATTGATCGGTGAGTCATATTTTCTTCTGTTATTCTGACTCTAAAATTATTCCTCAGGGTGCTCTGATGTTTGACAAAATGTGTGATTTTTCTTTGTTTTTGCTCCAGTCGTCAGTCAGTTACCTTATGATCAATTGCATGTCAGCTACACCTCAGCAAGCGTTATGCCTTTTTTGGATCATCTATCAAATATAATTGCCTGTTATGTTTGTAAAAAGGTGGCACATAGAAGGAAAAAAAAGTGTCCAATATGGAACAACGTAAAAAGGTTGTTATTTTCAACATAAAACAGATGGAGGGGATCTGAGACCCTGTCCTGAACACATCTCCCACCACAGGTATGACTGTAAGCAAGGTGATGTGCTAAAAAGGAAGAAAAAAAAACGAGAAAAGAAAAAGCCGCAGTGGGATGAAGTAGGAGTGCAAGGTGTGGGTTAAATTCATGCTCACCGCCCCAGAGAGGAGGAGGGGAGTGGGAGGACTAATTGTCTTTGTAGAGGCTCATAAAGTGTAGGGTCATTAGTGTTAATTATGCTGTGCTGTCACCAAGGCAGCTGTGATTATCTGACTTCTATTGTTGCTGCAGCTATCATTGTCCTCGCCGTGTGAGTGCTGTCTGCGTGCGTGGACGTCTCTCCACCTGCCTCCGACTGCCTTTGTTGTTTGCAGCCCATCGAGCGCGGGCCTCTCACACCTTCAATCATCGGTTTTTCAGCTTCCCTTTGGGCATAATTACACTTCAACCTGAATGTTGACTGTTTGTTTAGCGTTTTATTTTTTGGGTCAATAGGGCGACTAAACTTTTCATCTGTTCGTCCTGATAACACAAAGCATTATTCATCAGGGTGTACAGCGTAATGAGAACAGCAGCGTCCCGATGTGTGCACAAAGGACCAGAGATCGAAAGCTTTCTCTTCTSTAGCTGCTTGACTGAACACAGAGAGTAAAGTTTACATCTGTTACCTGTTRGAGGAACCCTAAAGCACTAATCATTATTGTGTGCACTGTGCTAAACTATTTCAACGACATTTTTCTACCCAGAAATGACCCAGCACGTCTCATCATCAGCTTCATTATGGAAAAAATAAACTCTATGTTATGCAAATAGATCTTT